TCTCTGTCACTAAGCCCTGGACCATTGTCAGTGAACCTTATTGAACGTGGGCAATTGCCATCAAAACCTAGTGAACAAGGGAAAATTGGCGTGAAAACCTACTAAAGAGTGGACAGCTGTCCTAGTGAACATCTGACTACTCCATTAAATCCTAGTACAAAATGTCACCAGTACAATGGCTAGCTGTCATTAAACCCAAGTACTTGTTGAACGACTATCACTAATCACTAGTACGCGATATATCCCTGTCACTCAACGTCAGTAAACGGTGGACCATTGTCACTTAACCCTAGTTCTTTTTGAACGACTGTTGCTAATCACTGGTACGCGATAAATTCCTGTCACTCAACGTCAGTACACGGTGGACCATTGTCACTTAACCCTAGTACTTTTTGAACGACTGTTGCTAATCACTGGTACGCGATAAATCCCTGTCACCCAACGTCAGTACACGATGGACCATTGTCACTAAACCCAAGTACTTGTTGAACGACTGTTACGAGTCACTAGAACGCGATATATCCCTGTCACTCAACGTGTGAGTCCATGTAAACAGTGGACATTTATGAAAGCATAATGAACATTCGACAACAACCTGGGGCGAGCTACTACAATGGAATCCCTGCGAAGGGTTGAAATTGTCATTAAATAGAAGCGAATGGTTGCATATATTAAATCCCAGGAAACGGTTGGAAACTGTCATTAAAACAGTGAAACAGTTGAAATGGTCATCAAATCATTGCGAACGGTTGAAAACTGTCAATAATTCCTAGGGAATGAATGAAAATTGCCATTAAATCATAGCTAACGGTGGATAATTATATTGTCTATAATTCCTAGCGAATGATTGAACATTGTCATTAATTCCGAGTGAACAGCGGGAAGTTGTCATGAAGTCCTAGTGATCGACAGGAAACTGTCATTAAATCTTAGTGATCGATGAGAAACTGTCAATAAATCCAAGGGAACTGTTGAAAACTGTCATTTAATCCAAATGAACTGTGGACGACTATCATTAAATCAAAAACAGTAACCCAGGTAATATACGTAATAATCTGACAATGCAGTACATGTAACGAGGAGAGGGAGACATAAGAGCAACATGACACAACAACTGCATAAAATCTATTCTTCATACACAAATATGATATACATTGGACCATGCTATTATGCTTCATAAATCAAATATGTAAGTAAAATATGAGACAGAAAATAACAATAGCTCATCACTACGTCGAGCTGATTTATAGGTGTAATCAGTGGTAGAGTCACATACAAACATCAGTTATTATACAAGCCTACTATAGTACATGTGTTTCATGGATTCTAGGACAAGGATGTGACCCTCATGGTCATTTGTGGCGAGTAAGTAACGTTACACTAACACTATTTGGTAATGTATACCCAATTAGGAACCTTGTTCCCCTGCAAGCTCTGTTGTAAATGTCTTAACAGGTTCACACAACAATACATTACAAACCAAGGGTTGGTTTGAGTTCAAGAACACATTAAGTATAAAGTTTCATATACTTATAAGTAATTGGTTATTTTATAAGAAACGAATGCTCTGGTTCCACTTATCGCCAAAGATCAAATTACCGAGCTATAATGATCCATTAAGGTTTTAGTAACGCTTGTATCATTTTATAAAAAAAACATAAAAAATGTTAAATAATTGTTCAATTGTTCTCATAAGCTTGACTGCTACATGTAGTTCCTATGTCCTGCGTGTTAGTCTTTGTCCTATTAGTTGATATTGTTTCTTTCTGAGGTTACATCAAAACCTCCATCCCACTACGTAAATACATTAAGTTGATCATTAGGGATTGGGTTCTTTGTCACCAAGCTTATTCACCTGACAGACACAAACGAGCTGGACCCATCCCTGCGGTGTATTTATACACGTCAGGCAGTATTCGTCTTCTTAGGAGTGTTGGTATTTCTGAATGGCACCCCGGGGAGAATTGTCATTGCGGTTTTCTAATATATATTAATATAGAGACATTGAAGTCTCGTTTGTTAATTATGCTACCGTAAATACTTCAACATATTGCCGGAACAAATGAGGGTGTGTTAATATCCTGTCGGAAACATACGTTTTCAATCGTGATTCTATTCAAACCAGAAAACTAACACCAGTATTTAATCATATATATTTCACCAGCCCTGTTACATATATTCGTCAGTTCACTGGCAAGAGGCTGGGTTATCAAACCACATGGGAGGGATTTTGGTATTTATACATTGTTTCGTCCTTAAAGGCAAACAGTGACGAAAGATTCATGTATCCCGGAACAAAACGTTCTGAGAAAAACTTAATGACGTGTCCTAACTATAGGTTGGTACGTTTTAGGACTGGGTTAAGAACACGTATGAAGATTAATTAAAAGAAGCTTTGCAGTATATATTTTCTAATAGAAATGTAACATTTCTCATACTGAAGTTAAATTGAGGATTCGGGTTAAAACGCCCTGCAAGAGGCCTATAGGTCAAGTGTTCCGAAGAATCGATCGGATTTCGACATTGCAGATTTATGCTTTAAACATGATAATTTATATGCCACGCCGCTCTCACTTAACCCAATACTTTAGTCTCACAATACCTCACAGGGGGCCTTCACGCCGTCTAAATCACTTTCAGACTTGCAAACTTTGCATAAGATTCTTGTACCTCAAAGAACAAGTTTATATTGGCTATCTTAGCCAAACGAATGTGAAAGTGAAATGGTTGAAAACCCTTCCTTATTTAGGTGAAGGATTTTTATCTTCCGATGTATCGTTCATTATCAAGCAGCTCTATTAAAATCCCTCACTGGTTTATAGGGTCTATGCAGACAGCGTTGTAAGGATCTTCGATTTAAGACAATGCTTCTTGCATAAAATCGGATCGTTTTGGTTTGGAGAGGTGCGTTTCATTTTGCAAGATAACGTTTGTTAGCTTAAGGTGGTGCTGAGCACAAATGAAACTGATTTTTACGATAACATACATGCACACTTTAATTGTATTTGGAGAAAGAGTTCTCCAAAACTACGAGTACATTCTTGTAAACTGATTGGTTAACATATTTCTATAGCAAAAAAAACCCAGACGCAGTTGAACCTTTGTTTGCTAGTATTACGACACACGCGGTCGGTACAGGATGTAACAGAATCATGGTTGCGTGGTAGACATGTGGAGGACATTTCCAAATTTGATGCATAAGTGACAAAAATGATGTCCGATGCAATTCCCAATTTTGACCTGCACCATATGTTCCCACGGTTTTTTTTTCAGGTGAACAATTGACTTGCCTTTGTATATGTTTGTGACGGGTGCCACCGGTGGGGCAGGATACGCTCACCTTTCGCGAACACCTGGTGCCATTACTATTTGATAGTGATTCATAAACACATGCTCATGATATAGTCGGACTTGTACAATAGACTCTGCATTATGCTGAGATTTCTATTGGATATGGAAAGGGTTAAGTCGCTTTACCTAAACAATTGTAATGTTAGTCCATAAAAGCACTGGGTGATTAAGACCAAGCTTGACCCCGTGGGAATCCGGATTAGAATTAGTCCCCAGCAATTTATGCTGGTCGTAATGGGCGACAAAATTGATCAGATGGTCAGACTCGATGACTTGGCTGATGGCGTGTCATCCTACCCCGACGATGTGGATCGTTGCTCATAACATCAAGCACTGGTTATAGCTGGAATATTGCTGAGTGCGGCGTTAAACAACAACAACAACAACAACAACTACAACAACAACAGAGAAGCCTCTTGATGATTACGGAGTTACATGCACCTTGTTCGTGCCACAAGAGCCGACAACGATAATGAGCGTGGTCTGGTTGAAAGTGTGCAAACGCACTATAACAACGTGGATTGTTGTTGATGCTGACATCGAAAGATGTGTCTGACTATTCACAGGTCACCGTGTCGTCACGATATGGCTGAAATAATGCCGATGTGACGTTAAATCTTAACTCTCGCACAGGTCGCCGTGTCGTCATGATATGGCTGAAATAATGCCGATGTGACGTTAAATCTTAACTCTCTCACAGGTCGCCTTGTCCTCACGATGTGGCTGAAATATTGCCGATGTGACGTTAAATCTTAACCCTCTCACAGGTCGCCGTGTCTTCACGATATGGCTGAAAGAATGCCGATGTGACGTTAAATCTTAACTCAATCACAGGGACCGTGTCGTCACGATATGGCTGAAATATTGCCGATGTGACGTTAAATCTTAACTCTCTCACAGGTCGCCGTGTCGTCACGATATGGCTGAAAGAATGCCGATGTGACGTTAAATCTTAACTCTCTCACAGGTCGCCGTGAATGTTACATGTATAAAGAACAATATATCACAGAAATATGCTTAGATGTATAAGTTTACTAATAATTGGTATTACTGTCAAGATGGTTTCAATATTTCTGAGTTTTGTACATATCTTTGTTCTCGTTCCATTGATTTCAAGTTAGAGAAATAGACGTAGGTTAGAGGGAGAGGCTATAGTACGGAAGCGTAGTAGGACCACGGTGAATGTTTTTTGTCTGAGTATCTCCTACGTAGGACTTAGTATCTCCTACGTAGGACTTGGTATCTCCTACGTAGAACTTACTATCTCCTACGTAGGACTTAGTATCTTCTACGTAGAACTTAGTATCTCCTACGTAGGACCTACTATCTCCTACGTAGGACTTACTATCTCCTACGTAGGACTTATTATCTCCTTAGATACTAAGTCCTACGTAGGAGATAGTGATTCTAGGCCATACTAAGTCCTACGTAGAAGATACTAAGTCCTAAGTAGGAGATACTTAGACAAAAAGAAAATTTCACCGTGGCCCAACTACGCTTCCGTACTATGGGGACTCGAGAAATGACATGACAACGAATAAACCATAAGCTCCCCTGCCTCTCAACCGATATACTATGAAAAGGTTACCCATCAACGAAGATGGTTGGTCCTTAAACAGGCTGAACAATATTAATGTTCGAATACCAACCTGCACCAGAAGTGGCCACGCGGAGTCCTGGCTCCTAACGGTAGTTTACTTTGACGTTTCCGGCGGCAGTTGCCATAGTATTTTCTCATCCTTCTATAGCAGTCGTAATGCCCCATATAGCCTGTAACAATAAACATGTCAATGAATCGGATTACCGGCCAATGTTGTAGACAGTCGACCAGGTCTGGTGACTTTGATTATCAATACATTGCTTTACTCCTCTGCAAAGTCAAGTGTGGATATTAAGCTCAATTTGACTTGTGCATAAAGTGAAGTCTCTGATTACAAAGACCAAGAATCCACATGCGAAAAGGACACATAAAGCTAATGATAACGTGTTGATCAAGTGCCAAGGGTCATCAGAGACCGGATGTGAACAATCTTCTAACAACGTGCCTCTCGATGAGGTATCGACAACTGTTGCTCTCTGTCTTTATACTCGCTGGTGTTTGCAGATGGTACTCGTGTCGAGTCAATGTCAAAGTCCAAGTTCGTGTCAAGATTTGTGTTTTTATCCGTTAGCGTGGTCACGTTACAGTTGCACATTCGTATCCTCTTCTCTGTGTTTCTGTGCGTTTCCATGTTCTTTAAAGTATACGTAAGGATGTACGTGTATTTATTATGATCATACTGATAGTGTTTACTTATTGTTGTTCACGTAAGTGTCCGTGTGTATCCATTTTTGTGTGTCATGTACCTGATCGTATTTGACTTGTGTGTGTTCATGCAAGTGTTCATGTGTATGTTCACTTTTGTGTTCCAGTTCGCGTTCCTGCCCTTGTAAGTGTTCGTGTGTGCACTTTATAATACTTATGTATGTGTTCGTCGTCAAGTAAGTGTTCGTGTGTGCACTTTATAATACTTATGTATGTGTTCGTCGTCAAGTAAGTGTTCGTGTGTGCACTTTATAATACTTATGTATGTGTTCGTCGTCAAGTAAGTGTTCGTGTGTGCACTTTATAATACTTATGTATGTGTTCGTCGTCAAGTAAGTGTTCGTGTGTGCACTTTATAATACTTATGTATGTGTTCGTCGTCAAGTAAGTGTTCGTGTGTGCACTTTATAATACTTATGTATGTGTTCGTCGTCAAGTAAGTGTTCGTGTGTGCACTTTATAATACTTATGTATGTGTTCGTCGTCAAGTGAGTGTTCGTGTGTGCACTTTATAATACTTATGTATGTGTTCGTCGTCAAGTGTTCGTGTGTGCACTTTATAATACTTATGTATGTGTTCGTCGTCAAGTAAGTGTTCTTGTGTGCACTTTATAATACTTATGTATGTGTTCGTCGTCAAGTAAGTGTTCGTGTGTGCACTTTATAATACTTATGTATGTGTTCGTCGTCAAGTAAGTGTTCGTGTGTGCACTTTATAATACTTATGTATGTGTTCGTCGTCAAGTAAGTGTTCGTGTGTGCACTTTATAATACTTATGTATGTGTTCGTCGTCAAGTGAGTGTTCGTGTGTGCACTTTATAATACTTATGTATGTGTTCGTCGTCAAGTGTTCGTGTGTGCACTTTATAATACTTATGTATGTGTTCGTCGTCAAGTAAGTGTTCTTGTGTGCACTTTATAATACTTATGTATGTGTTCGTCGTCAAGTAAGTGTTCGTGTATGTACTTTATAATACTTATGGATGTGTTCGTCGTCAAGTAAGTGTTCGTGTATGGTCTTGTAAGTACCCATGGACGTGTTCGTCTTCAAGTTCTTGTTCGTGTGTGTGCCTGTTTATGTTATGATTCATGTGTGTTAACGAGCGTGTCTTCACGGTTGTCCACTTTTTCGTGTACGGCAATGTGTGTGTATATAGACTAACTGAGCTTGTATTTATATGTATTTCTCGTTGTTGCTATTATCATTGTCATTACTATTATTACATTATTTGAAAGAATAATTTCAAATTAAATTAGGGAGATAATCTCAATCAATAAAACCAAAATAATATAATTTTCAATAAAGAAAGTACCATGCTTGTGGCACAGTAGACTAACATTAAGTCTCTGAAATCTTACACAATATCCTTCTTGTCTCTAAAAAAAATAAAAAATCCATATGCTGATTTCATATGTGGAATAGAGCTAGCTAGAGCTGGCTAGACTTGCTTTTGTATACGTTTCTAGACTTTTTTTTCATAAAATAATTTTTTTTCCACAGTCATGGTGCAGGACTAGTGGCACAGTACTTGTGACATGAAGACATCGCCCATTAATCATTACTCTAAGGCATGGAGTATTCGTGTGTGCGTGCACGTGGATATAGATTTGAATGGATTGCCCACTTGGCAGGCAGACATGTTTACAACAAACATTCGCCAAGACGTAATCTATTACCCGAAGGCGTTAACGTCATACTGTGGTATAAGGTAGCGTGTGTATGATGCAATTAGCCAGGACTATTTTGAACAGCGTGTTATTTCAAATCAGTGTTGCACTTTTAAACTGTTTGCTTTGAATTATGAGAAGAATTACCAAGTTGGTAACGTTTTGTATGTTTCAAAATCCTGTTTCCAGTCTGGCTACATAGAGATGGGCAAGACGAATATGTGGATAATTATACGATTCTATCTGTTGTTAACCTACGGCCTAAATCAATATTTTCTGGTTTCACATATCTGAGATTGCTGGAAATATACATTTTGTTGTTGTACATGGGAAGTCAACCACAAATATGAAAGGTACCGTATAAAATCTAATTTGTCGATTTCAGGAAATTGAAAAACTGATATTTAAGCGAAAATAGATAGTCGAATGAAAATAAATGATCAATGTTGGGAAATATGATTAGTAAATCATATAAGGTATCGGCCAAATTACATGCTTCAAGTATTTATATCGTGGATTTGTGATCCGTATAATTAGAAATGATTCAATATGGAGCTTATCAGAAAGTACCTTCATAGGTTGGTTTTGACCAGCGATGGTATTTGCAGAGTAATAACACTCAAATTGAATAACGTGTTCGCGTGCAGCGTAACATATAGTGTGTCTGGGACTAATTTCATTTCAATACGCCAGTGTAAGGGAGAGGTTGAATAGCTTCGTGGTTAAAGCTTTTACCTGTCCCAACGAAAACCCGGGTTCGATTCCCTGCAAGATTACAACGTGTGAACCAATGCTTGGTCGTCTAGTCGTGATATCTTGGAACTTCGCTAAATTAGCTCACTCGTACAAATACTGAAAAAACGTCAACGCTAGAGAATAACCAGTCTCGATTATCCGACGATACAGATTCCATTGAGTGTAAAATGCAAAATAGCGTTGAAAATTACATAATGGATCACTGAAAATCGGTGATGGCACAATGTGTTCGCGAAAAGGGTAAGCATGACCTGCCCTACCGGTAGCACCCGCCATTCACACAATCTACATAAAAAGTACGTTTGTGTTGCCTGACGCCGAACAACAATCCTCCTGCCGTGCGACGGCGGCATGTCAACAAACCAGACAGTAAGGTAACGCACCAGAAATCCAGTCACACGAATGCATGCAAGACAGTTTATCATAGAATATAACAAAATTGAATATTTTAGAACCTTCAAAATATGTACACAAACACCAACATTTTAATACTCCTTTGATTGGCATTTAGAAGTTGGAGTACTAAGTAAGGATAAGAATTTATGGATAACAACTTCATAATTGTAAATATTATCCTTATTTTCGTACTCACTTGTGTCTATGAGGGAAGTGTTATGTTCGCATTCTCGATACTGATAATTTATTTTTAATAAACAATAAAACCTAGGGGGAAAAATGAAAGTCTACCGAGTATATTTTTTATGTAATAAAATTGAAAGAACTGTTTTACATTTTTTATGTAATAAAATTGAAAGAACTGTTGTTAATCGTGGTTATGTGTATTTTACCATCACTCATTCCTGCAACAGTTCGTTAAAAGTAACGTGTGTCTGGGTAATTTTGTGTAAAAATATATTGGTTCAACGAAGACTGGGGTAAAATATGAATTTGCAACCACATTATTCCTATCATGAATGAAATGTAAATTTGTGGCGAAAAGAACCTTTTTTATTTTCAAAGATAAACTGTCGGATAAGATTTTTTTTTAAATTTAAAAGTTTTAAATCAAGTTATATTTTCAAAATTAATCCATGTAGAAGAATTCTTTGAGTGCTGACTCAAATGCAGTTCATTTCTTGCATTAAAAATATAGCTAACTTAAGGTATTTCCAACTGAAAATCAAACATGGTAGATCAACTGAGAGGTATACTTTCCTTTGGTAGTCAGCTTATCTGTACGTGAACCATGTCAACAAAACACATAATGATCCACCTTTAAGGATCCAAACGAACCCTTTAACTCTTGTTCAATGTGCCTGTAGGTCGGTTCGGACATAAGAAACGCAACCATTCCTAACAACGCATTGTATATAACAGTTTATCACTTAAACGTCTCCCTAACGTAATCAATGCCGCTGCTAATGAAATCACAGCCATTGTATGCTATTGATAAGAAAAGCTAAAGTCTCCAGCGTTACGCTTGCGGTACAAATGCGTTTTTCTCTTTTGCTTTATGGAACAAATCCTGGCTTAAGTCATCTTAACGATCAGACAACATGAAAAGCTTGACGTTAGGAGTAATATGTTAACTGGACTGCCGCTCTGTAGAAACCAAACGGTGCCCAATGAATAGCAAGTATATTGTAAGAGAATGGTCGATCGCATGATTATGGATCTAAATATAGAACCAATCAATGACTAAAAGAGATCAAAGAGATTGCCGTCACTGCAGGAGAAGTTGTAGGGGTGAAAGTTGCACTTCTTTCTGGATTTAATGGTTCCTCTGGACAGGTGCGAGGGATGCTTTTTGTCATAACCCCGGAAGCTGCAACTCGGCCTGAACAAATGTGACGTGGTGTTATGCCTTGCTGAATTGTCGTGGGATCCAGCTATTATATTTTTACGTAAACGTGAGGCCACTGTTCCGTTTATGTTCGGAAAGTCGCGATTCTTTGCCTATGAAAAATAACGAAAGTAACATGTAAAATGAAACTTTGTTTTTTATTAAGTGTAATGTTACAGGTTTATTTTTTAAATCCCGCGATAATGACTGGAATTTAATTACGTCAGCACGATAGTCATACATTTAAATTAGATTGA